CATGATCATTTAAATACCAAATTAACCCAACTTAATTGATCACTTTAGTGGGTTATCCTGAAAGATAGCAATACACATTGTTTAATCATATGTGCCCACAAATAGATTTATTAGATTAAATCCAACAGGTTGGATCGAAGGATTAGACATTATTTCTATTTAAAGAAATTTATAAAAAAAAAACTTAGTCAAGAACTCTATATTAATCACACAGTCACAGAGCAAGAGAGGTGCAAAATTGTGGTTTTGATTTGACTTTATTAATGGATGATGACAACTTTTCAACGGCTGAAAGGATGATCACCGGAGATGTTGAGGGTAAGCGCCGGAGATGGTAAGATATCGAGCAGAAGTTGAGAGCCCATTCGATAGTTGAGTGGTGGCAGAGGGGAGAAACATCGGAGGATAGGTTTTAGAATTCTCACAACTGATGTATCGATTTAGTAAAGTAAGTTTTTGTTTTAGTATTTGGGTTTTAGGTTGTGTATGGGTTTGGTTACTAAGAGACCAAAATCCTTGTATTAAGCAAATTGCAGATATCAGTATCTGTGTCCAGATCTTGAACTAATGTATGGATCCGTATCCATATCCGAAAACAAAAATTCAAAACCAGATCCGTATCCGAACAGTATTCGGCCAATTTAAAAAACGTACTGCCTACCAATATCCACATCCTTACGGATACATATGAGATGTGTTCTCATTTATCAGAACAAAATTCTAGTGGAATTTGTAGACCCTATGGGATCTAGTCCATTGCCAAATTAGGATAGGGCTGAAAAAGCCACTAGGAGAAGACGTTGAAAAGATGAAGAGAAAATAAGATTGGGTTAGGATTTTTACTGACAATGAGGTTGGGAAGCTGTATAAGTTAAAGTGATTAATGAGTTTGAGTTTGTGCATTAAATTGATAAACTACCGGAAAAGAGTATAAAGATAAACCATACATACCACCCCCCCCCCGGCCCCACCTAACCCACCCGTACCCCACGCAAACTTTATACCTAGCATTTACCTAGCGGACTTGATTTCAATGTACAAATAGGATTTTCTGTGTGGGTGGTGGGCGGTGTGCGCTTAATGACCCACGCGTACGGGCGCGTTGGTTCACGTGAGCGAGGGGGACGAGGCGCGGGGGTAGTGAGCGGCGAGCCCACGAGCATCGGAGCTGCTCGATGGGCACCAGGCGACATGGATCTTTGAGGCATGACCCGCCTTGACAGTTTGTGGCTGGCTGGGTGAGTGGCAGTCGGTGATGGGACCTTGACACAGTGTACGTGGTTGGTGGCAGAGCGCCGCAGGTGGCCCGGATGAGCTACATTTTATCCTCCTGTGTGGCATTCTTGGGACACATTTCCGTTGACACGCGCGCCGGTTCTCCTCCCGTTACTGCGGCTCCTTAGCCGCGAAGAGTCCGGGACCACCCAGATCTACAAGGGCGATGGTGGGACGGCTGGTCAGCCCGAGCCACGGTTCTGCTTGTGGGAGGGGTGGCTGAGACCCATTCAAAGATTTGTGGAGCTAATATCGAAATTTTTTTTTTTTAATTTGGGGGGGGGAAGACATGTTGGGCTAATATCGAATAACCCTTAAAATAGTACATATTAGTTTTGTGGAAAATTAAGGCCTAAAAAATTTTGGGTTTTGTGAAATTTACACTTGCATTGTCCAAAGAAATTTGACTAAAAACTCAATTGCGATCTGGCTGTGAAAAAACCAGAAGGGGGTTGGGGGGGTTCTTGGTCGGGGGGTGTGGTGGGGGGGCGGGTCGGGTTGGTGCAAATTTGCATCCTCTCCTCTCTCAAAACTCTTCATATTTGTAAGTCGAGGTTCATCCCTTTGCGCTTGCTTGTAGCTTCTTTGTAAACTGTTGCTTTATGGCGCGAATATACCAACTTGTCATCCGGTTGGATTCACTCAGTGCGTTAGTGATCTCTTTGCTTCAACTGGCGTCGGTCGTGCATGAATCCTGAGCGTATGCGCGATGCCCTACGTGGAAGCGTACGGTTCAAGGATAATTAAATCAATTTCAGTTGATGTATAAATTTTAGTAAAGAAGTACTGCAAGTATATAAAAAATATATTTACAGAATTTCTTGCTTTTGGATATCATTTTGAATCATAGCATTCAGGGCCATTTTGTTTGCATAAAATAACACCAGTTGCCGTAATTTTAATTTACGAAGGGCAATTAGTATTACAGTTATTTGTTTTTCATAACTGCATGCAACTGCAAAAACAACTCATTTCAAAAAAAAAAAAAAAAAGGCAAATCAAAATTGACTGTGAGTCCTTATTCGTAAAATAACTTTCGTAGCTACAATTGAAATTAAAACAAAGCACATCCGCTACAGTTTTATTGTATTGTCACTAATAAATACAGTTACAACTACAGCTATGAAAAGATCTTTAACTGCAATTAATAATTTATCCTGATTAGGATTTAGGCTAGAAAAAACCTTTTAAGCTGGAAATGAGATTAACAATTTGACTTTAGTTCAACAGATATCCAATAAAATTCAATAAGTTCTAATAACGGAAGCAAACTTTTCAAACTATAAGTGTAACCCGCAGATTAGAAATTTTGAGAGCGGAACAACATTTTAAATTAAATTTGATTATAACAATAAAATTCAGCTAATCCAATACGAAATGAGCTTTCCTATTTAACTATTATTTTTTCCATGTTCAAAACATTAGGCTCCGTTTGGATACCATGACGTTTTACTTATTTCCATGGTGTTTTTGTCAAAAACAAAACATCATGCGTTTGGAAACCATGGTGTTTGTTGAGCTAAATCATCCTCAAACCAAAAACACAATACTTATTTCAAAACACATTTTAAGTGTTTTAAGTTGAGTGTTTTGGTTTTGAGTTTGAAAAGGTGTTAATATAATATCTAACATAATATATTAAATATAATTAATATAAAGTTATTATCAACATGCTTATTATATTATACTATATTATAGTTAATATAATATAATAGTAATATTTATTAAATAATATAAAAATATATTAAATTAAATATCTTATTATTGAATAATAAATAATTTATTATAAAGTAAAATACTTTTTAATAATTTAAATAATTTACGCTAACAAATGTTAGTAAAATATATATTCATAATTAATAATATTTATTAATATCATAAATACTAATATATTATTAAAGTACTATTAATAAATCTATAACTATTTAGAAACTATCAATATATGTATATATATTAAATATTTATATATATTTATTTTAATTATAGTAACATATTATTAGCATTATTAATAATATTATTTTATATGAATAATAATAATTATACTTATATTTAATAATAAAAAATAATAATAAAAGTAATAAAATATTCAACAATAACAAATCGATATACCAAAATAATTAAATATATAATTATTTAAAAAGAATATGTAATAATTATAATATAATGTAACATATTAAAGTACAATATAATATTATAATATATTATACAATATTATATTACATTACATTTAATACTTATAATACTATAATAATGTAAACTGTATATTATAACATTTTATTTATAATATATTTTGTTATAATTAATATATAATATATTAATAATATGTTTAATACTAATGTTATAATAGGTCAAACTAGTGTTGATAAAAAATACTTAACATTGTGTTTTAAAAACATTTTAAGGAAAAATACAACACCATGATGTTTTTTTATAAAAACACAAAAAAAAAAAACACAATGGTATCCAAACAAAGAATTAACAAATAGGAGCTAAAGTAAATTTCAATTCTCTCCTCCTTTCTCTTCCTCCGTTACGCCGTATTCAACACGGCGTTTAACGCAATCGTCTCATGTTCCGTGTCGGTGGCGAAGCAAACGCAGATACTACATGTGGATTGGTCCGGTCCGATTGGAGGGCAAAATCGTAGTTCTTTACTCTCCCAGGGGATAAAGCGGGGTCGGTGCGGAAAACCAGTCGAACACGGGTTTGACCACGGCCTCTGACGACAGCCGAGCCTCTGCCAAGCCCCGTACCAAAAAGAGATCTGTCATTTTTCCCTCGGACTACCAAACAAATCCTTATTTCCACGTCTGCCCTGAACTGAACCGCTATTTACATGAACGCTACTCTAAAGACCAACATGCGTTCAAACAGGAAGGCATTCCCGTAGTTTGCACTTACGTCCAGGGGTATTTTTGGCCTTTTGTGAAGATTCCAACCTGCACTGTATTCGAGTTCGAGTCAGTTTGACTGACGCGGACCCTCTCCTCTTTGAAAAGAGAAAAAAGAGCTTTGGTATGATTAAATGGCATTGAACTCCAGGGGACGTGGATCCTCCTGTGACCATCAATCTCAACCGTACGATCTCGGGGCCCCACTTCTAGGCTTCCCAGTTTGTGGTACTGTCACTCTGACACTTTTGGCGTTATAGCATTTCTCAGAGAAACCCCACGAGCATTTTAAATTTTGATTTGTAACGTTACCGGTGCTTTGAATTTGGACATTTTTTCTAAAAACCATTGAAAATATTATTTTGATTTTATATAGCTTTGGTCTTTTAAAATTTTTAGCATCTGTTAGGTTAGGTTTATTAACCAAATATAGCTGAGTAACATTTTAACATGCACGAAATCATTCATCATTATTACCTTGCTACTTACCAAAAATCACATTGAAAAACACTATTGTGATGAACATCCCACCGGTTGTATTGCCTTATTCTTCCAAAATTTAGATCCTCTCCAATTACCATGAGCTTGATTTAAACAGGACCCCAAGCTTATCGATGGGGGGGAAAAATAGCTGGAGAGAATAAAATGACCAATGATAGCTAGCAGAAAAGAGTTCGTTTTTCGATGTTCAAGCGGTTTTGGATTTAAAAACCACTTACCACGAAATTAATGCGAAGCTGCTTATGTGACTTAATCAATTGATTAATAACAATTTCAATGATCTAAAAAAAAGCATTTTACAAATACGAAAGCTTTAATTAAGGGACCAATATGTAATAAACCACTAAAGAATGATCAAGAATGTTTCAATTTGGTATTTACATTTGCCCCCGGCGGTGATCGGACACGAGGGCATGAATGGCATTCGACAACCCATTAACGGCCGAAATCAGCCCTGTCACCGCTTGCCTATTCACTTCCGTCCTCTCTTCTTCCAATTTTACCCTCCTCTCCTCGAGTTCCAGCAACTCGCGGTGCCTAGTCTCCCTCTTCTCCTCACAAGCCATTAAGGTTCGAGCCAGAACTGAAGCGCTCCGAACCACACTCGAGCCCAAGCTCTTTAGCTTCCTCCGTTTCGTGTCGGGCTCGTCCTGGCCCGACTCGGACGACTCGAATGGCTCCGCTACCAAAAAGTAAGAAAGGCAACAGCATTATAAGAACCGCTTTAGGACAAATAAAAAAAATGCAATTATTAGTTTTAGATCCTGTTCATGTGCGCAAAAAGCTTAAAAAGGTAAGGCAAGCTTTTCTGTAATCTTTTTCGCGGCTTTATTGGGCTTAAATATTTGCATGCAGTAGTACCTTTAGCTGCACATATCTTATTTTACTTTGCACTTTTGTGTCCTGCAGTTTGCACTTTTATATATTCCAAAATTTTTTATTTGACTTTATGATACCCCAAAGCTTATACTTTTTTTTCACTTTAATACCCCCTTTTTTTTCATTCTGTGTAACACTTTAATGCCTCAAAAGTTTGCACCTTGTTTATCTTTCATATCCCAAAGTTAACGCATTTGTTAACTTTAATAGGGCTTAACCTTGGGTATCAAGTGTAAAAAAACAAAAAACAAAAATTAGAGTATCGAAGTTTAAAAATAGCGTAAAATTTGGGTCGCTAGGCGCAAACAACCATGTTTTAATAAATAATTTTGCAAAATATCTGCTTTCATTAATCCCACATCGACTAATAATAATTAAGAACCCCGCACCGTACTTTTAATACCGACCATAATCCCGCATTAACGATCCATATAAATAACGCAATAAAATCACGCGCTTTACCTGAACCCGACGGCTCTGCCGCCTGCCTGCGCGGCGGAGGCGGCGGAGCAGCATCGGTGGAGGGGGAGGAAGAGACGACACCGGCGGAAGGCCCGCGGAGACGACGACGAGCTCCGTCCGAGCATGCGCCGGGTCAAGACGTCAGTTAGGGCCTCGAAAACCTCGGACGACAAATTCGTCGGCAGATTCTTCTCTTTCCGCTCGTGGCGGTCCATGACCAGTAGCTGGGCCGGGCCTCGTCGCGCCTTGGGCCTCGACTCGTAGTCTCGGACCTTCTTGCTGTCCCGGAGGAGGTTGTCCCTTTATCATTGCACTGGTTTTGCGAGCGGAGACAGTTCTGATGCCAGCAGTAGTTCTCGACCCACTTCCAGGCTGTTCTGCGGAGCGGGGGGCGCCGCCGCCGGAGACGGAGGTGGGTTGGAGGAGGAGGAGGAGCGCGGTCGTCGTCGAGGGCGCTTGGCGTGTGATGAGGGTTAGGGTTCTTGGACGCGTCCAGTTGGCCCTTGCGGTAGTCGCGGCGTGAGGGAGGAGGCCGGGGTCGTAGAGGAGGCGGCCGCTGCGGAGGAGGAGGCGGCGGCCGCGGCCGTCGAGGGGTTGGGGTTGAGCTCGACATATTTTTTTTTTGTTTTTTTTTAAATGAGGGGTGGGAATGTGAACATGGCCCAAACGGGGCTCGGGAATTGAATATTAGGAGGACGGGGTGGTGGTGGTGGGATTCTGTATTTTTTTTGCAGAAAAGGGCTTGGGAATGGTAGATTTGCGGCGGGGTACCGTTATTATTATTACAGTGCTGTGTAGTGTAGGGGGGAGGGAGAGTTATTGCGGTTCCTGTATTTAGGTCTCGATCGTTTAGAATGAGATGGGGAGACGAGGCAAACACTGTAATATCGGCACACAGTTCGTGTAAGTATTAACGTGATTGATATTTAATCGTCAATGTTAGAGACTCTAGGTCTGTCTTTTATACATTGGGTTGTGATGGTGTGGGGGGAGAAAATGAGGATGAAAAGCAAAAAAAAAAAATGAAGGTTATGTGACTAATGCACAAGGATTGGGTTGGGCAGCAGTCTAATGCATGTGGTGAGTCTTGTGACTCTCTGAGCCTGGGCTGCGTGATGGCTGTAGTTGGTGGATGTAGGAAACGAGGGGAGAAGGGAAATTTTGCCGAGGAGCAAGACTTGTGCGGTCAACGGGGCCGGTCTTAGATTCGGTGTGTAGCTAGTGTTGTTGGGTTTGGGAATCTGGCGGGTTCAGGTAGGGAATAGGTGATTAGTTAAAAAAAATTAAAATAATAATAAAGATGGAGGTGCGGGGAATCGAACCCCGTGCCTCTCGCATGCGAAGCGAGCGCTCTACCATATGAGCTACACCCCCTGTCATGGCCGAAGATCTCGGTTGAGACACAAATTGTCATTAACGAATGTGTTGATCAACGTTTTCGAATGTGTTGATCAACGTTTTCTTTTTCGCCATTGATGAGAACTTGCGGATGAGTTTTTAGCATTTTTGAGGCGTTTCTTAATGCGTTTAGTGGGATTTTCATCAATAAGTATAGAAGCTCGCTTGATTGAGTTAATGGATGCACATGATTATTTGATTAATGGGTTCCTGAGGAGAAAAAAGAACGCGAAAATTCCAATCCCGACCGCTAAATTCATCAATTCTAATAGTAACCAAGGTTACCACAAAATTCACGAGAAGAAGATTATAAGAGTATTCTCATCAAAATTCATATCGCAAAATTCACGAGAAGGAGATTATAGGAGTATTCTCGTCATCGTCAGCCGAAATCGAAGATTGTTATGGCTGAGGATTATAAGAGTATCACTGTTGTGCCTAGAGAATCCAAACCAATCGCCGAGAAAAGATAAACCAACACACCAAAATCAATAGCACACAATCGCCGAGAAAAGATAAACCAACACACCAAAATCAATAGCACAAACAATCAAACACCAGTTTTACGTGGTTCGGCAAGATGCCTACAACACCAAAATCAATAGCACAAACAATCAAACACCAGTTTTACGTGGTTCGGCAAGATGCCTACGTCCACAGGACAAGGAGGAGAAAGTTTTCACTATTAGAAATCAAGAGGAACAAATTAGGATTACAATCTCTCACCAAAACTCACAACAACTCACTTTTGATCTCTCCAAATGCTCCTAGAATAGAAGCCCAAAGAAAACCCCTTTCAACAGCTCAAAACCCTTGCCTTACAAATCCTAGAATCGTGTTTGGGTATTTATAGAAAACCCAAACGAAACGGGTCTGGAAAACAGACCCAGACTCAACCCGCTTCGGTGGTCGACCGACACGGTCGACCGCGATCCATCACGGTCGACCGGCCCGATCGACCGCCCTCCATCCAGCGGCTGATCCAAATTCCAGAGAGTTCGGCGGTCGACCGCGTCGGTCGACCGCTACCATCTTCGGTCGACTGTGTCGGGCCCAGAAACTCCTGTGCACGAACGCGGGCGACCGGGCCGGTCGACCGCCACCCTGACAATCTGAATCCTGAGCTTATCTCTTCAAATCTCCACCTCGGCGAAGATTCTTCCAAAACTGAGCCGACACCGATCAAACCAATACCTCAACTGTTGCACCCAGTATGCCATGGCAACGGACTCATGACAACGGACTCCAATCACAGCACGTCAAGACCCAAACGGGAGTGCGAACACTCAACCCCAAACCAACTGTGTCTACTCACCAAATCGGCTGCATCAGAAAACTGACTGCCTACGTATCCTCTCCAAGGAATCAAGCATTCACGTAGTTCCCCAATGGCCTCCAAAGGCCCTCAATCCATCTTGCGGCTGATAGCATCATCAACGACCCCAAACTGAAGCGATCCGAACACCTCCACCTGAGGTGAAACAATAGTCGTATCCAAAACGGATCCACCAGCTGCATCTAAATCAACCACCTCATCATCTGCACCCATAAATAAATGACTCTCACGCTGTGCCACCTCAGCTGGAATCCCAACCAATGCAGAATGACCTGGAGTATGTGGGAAAATCCCCACCCAATGTGGAGTAGCATCAACCTCCACCCGCTGTGATATCCCTCTGACCTGATCAATACTCTCCACCTGCCGAGAGTCCAAAGTGACAAACCTGTTCAGACCAAACTCAGAAGCTCCCCACTGATAGCCGAACGAGCCTCTGAATCCCAAATGCGCAATCGGATCCAATCTCACATCCACGATGCGGCCAAGTGCTGGGTAGCCGAATATCCGACGCCAACCAAAATCTGAAACAGCTCCACCAGATCTAACAACTCTATACGCTGCAGTCGGCAACCTCATAAGATGACCCAAACCTGTCGAAGCCTGAATACCAGATCCGCTGTTTGACAACCAATGCCGATCCTCCTCCAGAGAAGAACGGCTCACTAAATCCGCCATCTCATCACGTCGCCCCACTGTCTCCTCTCCTCTGAAGTGTCTCCAACTACCATGAGCTCGGCACCAATGCAAGAAAGGACTCCTACTAGAACAAGTACGACTGGTAACCTTTCTGCCCATACACCTCCTCCAACTATTGCGGACTACTAGGGCTTTATACCAACGGGACTTGGTCGCAACCCAAATATGCCTAGTACAATCCCCAACATAGGAAACAAAATAATCATTACCTCCCACTGATGCATACATGGAAGGCCCCCCAATGCCTGACTGAACACCTCCAATAAGACCCCTCGATCGGTGGATAGAAGTGCTGAACTCCACATCGGTCTCCTCACTCATCCCAGTGTGCTCACAGGACTTCAATCTGCAGGTTATAGCACTCCTCAACAATCTGTGCACGGCATAACCAATAAGATATCCCAGCACCAAACAATGCCACAGTCTAGCCATAGAAGTAGTTAGCGCCCTATCAACTATCGTGCTCCCAAGCAGATAATACAAGTTACTCCGCCTGACTCCCTTCATCACAATCATGGACCCCGATGTGACCTTCAAACGAGAATCCGCCAAAGTCACCCTATAGCCTGATGCCTCCAATACCCCAAGTGAAATGATGTTCTTCCTCAGTTGAGGAACGAACCTCACATCAGCCAACTCCCGGATCATCCCGTCACTCATCCGAATCCGAACGGTACCAATACCACCAATAGGGCATCTGTGATCATTACCCATGAGAACAGCATCCCCTCTTTCCAACTCCTGAAAGCTGGAGAACCAATCCCTTCTAGGGCATATGTGGTAAGTAGCACCAGAATCCAACATCCACTCGGTGGAGTCGGCAACATCAACTGACGGAAGAGCTGGGCATGAATAAACTGAAGAATCTGAATCTGAAGCATCGCCACTAGCCTTGGCAATATTCACCTCTGAAGCTTGAATAGCTTTCCCTTTATTCTTCACGGCTTGCAATTTTGGGCATTCGGCTTTCCAATGTCCATCCTCTCTACAAAAGGCACACTGATTCCTACAAACTGCAGGATGCCCCCCTCTAGACTGCGATCTTCTCCCACGGTTTGGACTTTTAGCTCATGTAACCAATTCCCCCGCAACAGGCTCAATAGAAGTCTCATTGTCCTTCTTTCGAAGTTGATAGTTCACAAGGGCTGCGGTGACCTCACTATACGAAAGAGATGCCTTCCCATTAATAAGGGTGAGGACGAAGGTCTCATATTCCTCGTCGGGCAAGGAACTCAATAACAACAATGCTTTATCCTTATCTTCAACAATGACATCTACGCTCGCCAAATCTGCAAGTAGCTTAGTGTAGTGGTTCATGTGATCACTAATGGATGTCCCCTTCTTCAATTGGAAGCGATAAAGCCTCCTCTTCAAATGCAAACGATTTTTGACGCTCTTTGTTAAATATTTACCCTCTAGGACCTCCCAAATCTTCTTTGCCGAAGTTTCATTCATCACATCATATTTCAGATCTTGGGTAAGGCAAGACCTAATCACACCACACGCCATTCTATTCATCTTATTCCAAACCTTTTCATCCATGTTGTCCGGTTTCCCGTCCAACTCCAATGTATCTTCCAAATTTTGCGCATTTAGCGCATCCATGACTTCGCATCTCCAAAGTCCAAAATTATTTGTGCCGTTGAATTTTTCCACATCTATTTTCATAGAATGTATATTCAAACTTTGGACGGCCCTCACACTAGAAGAACCCTCCCCACTTTTATCTTTTCCGGCCATAATCTCAAAGCACCCAATAAACAATTACGGAACAAATAGGAAATATATCCAACTTGAAAAAGATAGAAACTTTACCACAAAGATCCCACCTTTATCACCAATCGAAGCTCTAGATGAACTTCCCAACTGATCTACACCTCCAAAAAGCTCAAGCGTTGCCCGGAGCTCTGATACCACTTGTTGTGCCTAGAGAATCCAAACCAATCGCCGAGAAAAGATAAACCAACACACCAAAATCAATAGCACAAACAATCAAACACCAGTTTTACGTAGTTCGGCAAGATGCCTACGTCCACGAGGCAAGGAGGGGGAAGTTTTCACTATTAGAAATCAAGAGGAACAAACTAGGGTTACAATCTCTCACCAAAACCCACAACAACTCACTTTTGATCTCTCCAAATGCTCCTAGAATAGAAGCCCAAAGAAAACCCCTTTCAACAGCTCAAAACCCTTGCCTTACAAACCCCAGAATCGTGTTTGGGTATTTATAGAAAACCCAAACAAAACGGGTCTGGAAAACAGACCCAGACCCAAAATCACTGCGGCGGTCGACTCCGACACGTCGACCGCGATCCATCGCGGCTCGACCGCCTCCATCCAACTGTCATACAGAAATCCAGAGAGTTCGGCGGTCGATTGGCGCATCGACCGCCACCAGAGCAGAAACATCTGCGATCGACCGCACCGGTCGACCGCCACCAACACCGAAGCCCAGTGAGCCTCGTGCACGAATGCAGTCGACCGCGCCGGTTGACCGCCACCCAATCTGCTGAAACCTAAACTATTCTGCCAATTCTACAAGTATCACTTGGCATCCGAAATCGAATAAACAGGTTGAGGATGTATATGACTGTTATGGCGCATCATGAGAACTTAAAGCTAACAATAATCATGAATATCTTTTGAACTGAAATATTCTGCCAATTCTACAAGTATCACTTGGCATCCGAAATCGAATAAACAGGTTGAGGATGTATATGACTGTTATGGCGCATCATGAGAACTTAAAGCTAACAAGTCTTGTGTAAATTTTCCTTGAGTTGAATATTGAGTGTACACATATATTTATACAAGTAGAGAAGAGTGATGTGTGTTCTCACAACCAATATGGGATTAAAACCCACTATAATACATTATTATCAACAACCCCCCTCAAACTCATGTTGGATCAAACAAAATGAGTTTACGTACAAGAATCTGGAACCGATGAACAGGTAAGGCCTTTGTGAAGAAATCTGCAAACTTTTGATTATCATAATTTTCTACTTTTTTGTGAATAGGAATCTCTAGTAATGGATATGAATAGTTTTAATTTAATGAGAATTCGTAGTGAGATAGAATTAGTTGGATACCTGTCATCTTTTAGTAGGATAAAAAATTAGTTCTACTATTTGATCTTTTTTAATATTAAATTTTGGTTGAAGATTTTACCTTTAAATCATTTAAATATTTTAGGATAAAATTAGAATGTAATATCCAAAAGGATTATGAGTAAAATTGACCATAGAAAATTTTTCTCAAACTCACTCTTTTATAAAGAGTATGATATGATATGATATGAAGTATGATATGATATGATTTATTCAAACAATAAAGAGTGTTTAGATGTTAGTTCCTTAGATCATCGGAATTTTGATACAATCCCTCAAATCTTTCATACTTTGATATTCTCTCCCAAATTATCTTAATATGTTGATATTAGTCCCTCTAAGTAGATGGTTTTAAAATGGAAAATTTCTATTTTCTTTAACTTTTTTCATGAATGGACATTATACTCCACTTCTCTCTCCCCCATCTGACCTTCTTTCCTTCCTCTCTGCCCTCAACCACCGCTACTGCCCCCTACGTCGTATTCATCCTAGGGCTGAGCAAAGTTCGATAAAAACCAAATTAACCGACCAAACCGTCCGAATTCCAGCGGTTCGGTTCGGTTATGGAGTTTATTCAGTTCGGATCGGGTTGTAAAAATTTCTACCAGGAATAACCAACCCAACTGAATAACACTCGAACTCTCTGCAGTGAATAAAAGCGTATCAGGATTCGTATAAAAAACAACCAACATTCAATAATATTAACATCTAGCACCAAAAAGAATTACTCTCACATTCATTGTGGCCCCCACCCACATGACCAATGTTAGTTGCCAATTGAAAAGAGAGATCATCACGTCAAGAATGAAGAGAGTAAACCAATCACTAAAGTTAACCAACCCATTCATCTGCTCCCCCTCTCTCTCATAAGAGGTTAACCCGTTGAAATATCTCATTCATCCCCTCACTATACTTGACTCCCTTGTTCATTTTCGAGTTTTCATCGTCTTAATTGTTCTTACATCCTTTCTAATCTGATTAATTGCTCTAATATCTGCTCCTTACACTTAATGTTATGGCTGCTGTAATTGCTACTTGCTAGTAGAGTTTCATGGAACCAAAAATAACCGATCGAACTGAGCCGAAATAATTCGGTTCGGTCTGGTTCGGTTCAACACTAATTTTCGGTTTGGTTTGGTTCCATAAAAATTGACCAAAACCGGCCGAACCCCGTTTACTCAACCCTACTTACATTCTTTCTAATTTGATTTTTTTTCAATTGTTATTTGCTTTAATATCTGTACTCTTCACTTATTGTTATGGCTAATGCATATTGCCACTTGCTTGTAGAATTTCATGGCACCGAAATAATTGACCGAACTGAATTGCAATAATTCGGTTCGGTCCGGTTCGGTTTAAAACGGGTTCGGTTCGGTTCCGTTCCGTAGAAATTGACCAAAATCGGCCCGTAATTCCTCCTTTACTTGACCTGCTCCAATATCTTCACAGATCGAAACAAATATGAAAAAGAGTGGTGACAAAGAAGGTGCTAGTGACATTATCGATGGAGATAGTGATGATGATAGTGATGATGGTAGAGGAGGTGAGAATACCGATGGAGGAGGTCATGAAGGCAAAGAAGATGGTGGGTAGAGGAGGAAGAGGTGAGAATACTAGCGGCGGAGGGGGTGGTGGTCGAGGTGAAAGAGAGAAGAAGAAGTAATAAGGTAATTCCCTATCCATGATTATCGCTAGCCGAACCATGATTTAGGGTTTTGAATGACAAAACCTGATAAAAGGACTAACATTGACACATTAAGAAAACTTGAGGGACTAAGAGCAAGTGCACCAAGCTCCCACCGCCGCTCTCAATGCCTAGCGGTGGGAGCTCGTGAACCCCCTCCAACAAACTCCCAGCAAGCTCCCAAGGGGCTCCCTGGGCTGATGTGGCCAGTAGGGCCCACCGGAGCTCTTGGGAGCTCCCAAGTGCTCCACAAATTTGTGGAGCGCCTCCTAAGCATTAATTTTTTTTTACAAACCCCCCTACTTTTAAACCCAAAACCCAAGTTGAAAATAGTTGTTAAATGGAAGAAGGTTTTTTTGATATTGTTACAAAACTAAAATAGAAGAGGGTTTTTTTTGATATTGTGGAGCTCCTAACTAGGAGTTTGTTGGAGATCAACATTAGTTAGTAGGGTGATGTGACATTGGAAATGGTAGGTCATGTCTTGAGAGCTCTTGGGAGCTTGCTGATTAGAACTCCCAACTAAGAACTTGCTGCACTTGCTCTAACATCAATGTACTAAGAATTTTTTTTTTTGGGGGGCTAATATCTAAAAATGTCCCCCCGAAAAAGGTGTTTTTGTTTAAACCCCTCTTAAACCCAATCCTTATTATTCTTTCTCTTTTTGGAAACGCCAATGGCTCTCCTCCTCTCCCATTCTCCCCCTCTTCCCGCTCGCACCAGACTCCTCTCGAAAACCCTAATTTCAAAATCCACCCCCTTTATCCCCTCGATTCCAGCCCCGACCCCATTAAATCTCCCCTCTTTCACCTCAAAAACCCCCAAATTGCTTAACCCCAAAATCCTAACCCCCTCCTCTTCCTCATCCTTCGCAGACCCCACTTTCGATTTCGACGACGGCGAAGAAATCCCCGTCGGCTCTCCATGGGACGGCGCTGTAATCTACAAGCGTGACGCATCAGCTCCTCATGTGGAGTACTGTACCACGCTGGAGAGGCTAGGGCTTGCGAGGCTCTCTACTGATGTTTCGAAGTCGAGGGCTTCGGCCATGGGGATCAGGTTACCGCCCAGGAGGGCAAAGGAGGCGGAGTTGGGGGGTGACGGGACTCCGGTGCTGGTGTCGGTGGATGTTACGAGGAGGAAGAGGAGGTTGAAGCTGGATGGGATCGTGAGGACAGTCATCACTCTGGGTTGCAACAGGTGAGTGGTTTTTTTTTCCCAGTAGGATAACATGAATTAAGATGCAAAGTTGCATTTTTTTAATATGTTTGGTTTCTGAGAAATTCGCTCATAAACATAAGTTCTTCTACTTTAATCTCCACATATATGGGCTAGCAGTCTGGATGATATTAACTCATCCTAGTTTGTTGCATCATCAGTATCACTAACCAAGCTTTTTCCCATTAAATTGGCTTTATGTAAAGTTCGCACGAAACATACTTAAGGAAAATGCCATCACAAATGTGCGCAAGGTAGGGTCGTATGGTCGAAAATTGGTGGGCGGGCAAGTAGCTTTACCTCTTTGTTATGCAGTTAAGCAGCAGCTGAGGCAAACAAGGAGAAACTCTCTGATTCTCTTAACCCATTTTTGCGCATGATCGAAAAAAGGTTTAGCTACAGTGGAGGCTTAGGATTTTTTATTGTTCATGTTTATGCAAGACTTTCTTATTTGAATATGAGGTAATTGTTTCTTGACTTCTTCTTTTACTCGTAGTTTTTGGTGAAGTATGTTTGGAAACCATAGGCAGTAAAGTGGGGGCAGATTTCTGTGACCTTTTTCAACAATGAGCTGTCTTGAGGATAGTAACAGATATTGTTGTCTTAGTTGCTATTTCCTTCACAGTTGGGGATAAACAAATGAGTAAAGAGTTGAATTCTATGGAAAGTAAACGTTCCTGTTGCGCTATTGTTTTTGTTCAAATTGTTTCAATTTTTGTAGTCTGAGGCAACTATTTACTCATTGAGAATGTCAATAAATAGGTTTCACGAATGGTTTCATAGATTAAAGACGAGTTGTAGAGGTTTTTTTGTGGATATTAACAAAGGGCATTTCGCGTTACCTAATTAATTACTATGATGTGGTTTAAAGACATGTGCAATGAGTAGAACTAGCACAAGGAAAGAATTGCGGGAGATAGATATGTTTCTGGTCAGTCGTTACCGTGCACTGAATTCAAGAATGAGCATGAAGCTAATGTTTCTGCATTAGTTATGACTTACAAGGTTACAACATCTTTGGGGTTAATTGAACGGCGCATATCATTTTTCCATGTTATGATGTTACATTGTATTGTTTGCTGAGAGTTGAGACTAAAGAAGGAGCATTTTAGTAATGTGGGCTAAAGCTTTAGAATATGAATGAATTTAATTTAGCAAAGAAAAAAAAGTAAAAACCAAACAAAATACATGAAATAATTATGAGTTGTTACTACATCAACATTAAGGAATGTGGTGGACCAAAATGAACATGGGTTAATGCACTCGGAAGAATTTATTTGTTGCTAAATTTATGGAGTTGATGCCACTTGAAAATATGAATAATGCAGCCAAGATGAAAAAATTTGTCACGAGGGCCTTGTCTTTTGCTCATTTTATTATTATTATTATTAGAAACAGGGACTCTATTCTCATGTGTATTTGCTGCACTTACCTTGAACAATAGAGAAGGTAACTGGCCTACAGTTTGGTAACCCTTTTAACTAAATAGCGCTATGCTTATTTGTGTTGTAAATTGAAGAAAATGTTACCCAACCACATATTTATCGTCGTTTCTTTCCGGAAGTTATCAATAGTACTATTTGACTTACATGAAGGGTGATCTTGCCTACTATAATGGTTGTCAAACTCTGTTATCGATATATACTTGCACAAATTTTATTTAGAGCTTTGGATGTTACAAATGAGACTATGGTTATTAGTGATTCTCCTCAATCATTTTGTATTTTGCTTTGTGCTGTAGGCAGAATAGTTTTTTTTAATCATTTCCAGAGTCTTTGATAAACTATATCTCCACATACTGCTTGCCTGGTGTTGTAATACTCATTTCTAGTGTTTCTCTTATTTTCTTTATCTTAGGTAGTTCTAAACTCTTCTGTTCAGGTGTGGTGAACCAGCAGCAGAGGGGGTATTCTCAAACTTCTCGCTTCTGCTAACCGAAGATCCCATTAACGAATCTGATGATGAGATCAACATGGGAGTGATTTATGGAGACGAGAAGCACAAGTCCTCTACTGGCAACATAACCGAAGAAGATGAAGAGGATGAAAAAGAAATAGATAGAGATGACAGGCTCTACTTCCCATCTGAAGAAAGAGAGATTGATATCTCGAAACCCATAAGGGACCTTGTTCATTTAGAGATAACATTGAATGCAGTTTGTGATGCTAATTGTAAGGGTTTATGTCTCAGATGTGGTATGAACTTAAATAAGAGAAGATGCAGTTGTAGCAGAGGGGAAGCACAAGAAGGAGACTATGGTCCTCTCAAGAATTTGAGAAAACAAATGCAGAGCAAGTGACTTAGGAGAAAGAAGCAGGTAAACATTCGTGTGTTTTGATCCTTTTTTTTATTTATATAGATGGGATGTACAAAATCACATGATATAGCCTTCAGTTTGCATGCATATTGTGTTATGCTACTTTTATGGCATTCTCTCGGTCAAACTGTTTTCTTAGATCATGAACCATAATTGTATTATTCAGTTTCCATGGCAGTATCTTAATAGTTCGTTGTGGAGCAAGTTTTAGCAGACATGATTAGCATGGAAACTTAGAATCTCCTAAGATATTCATAGTTATTTTTAGCTTAGAGTTTTTGTAATATTCTAATGATCCTATACATCCTCAAGTCAGTTTCGTCGATATTGGATATCATGTAACATGATTTTTATGAGAATCCTATCATCAC